TAATGGTCGTTCGAAAAAAAAGCATCAAAAAGCATGCTTATGTGTCCGGGGTTAAAAACTTTGGTACAGCTGTGCTGGCATTTGTATGTTAATGTAAAAGATCTGTAACGGTAGCCCAGGTATTCACTGATACGGAAAAATGAGGGGAAAAAGTGGCTGTAGCAAAATCCTGGACACCAAGAGCATTGCGGAAGTTAACCCTATTTAATCTCGCTTTCTTTATCCATAGATTACTGAGCCTATCATCGATGAAAAAAAAATTGCTTTTTTTTTTCAGGCACATGCTCTGCACAAGAAACATAGTACCATGAAACAGGCCTTTGAAATTGCTACTCGTATGGCTGCTAAAAACGTGGTTCTTACGCATTTTAGCGCCAAGTATGCAAAGGTTTGTGATATTTTGATTTTCAAAACCTGCATTATTTGGTAGTTAGCCTGCTGCTGCTGTTGCCGCTGTTGATATTGGTGTTAGCTGCTTAGGTTTTCTTCGTTTTTTCTGTGAAATGGATGGATATAGTACTGGCACTCAGTAAACATAGGTCCCTCATCAAGACGAATTGGGTTGCGCGAAAGGGACTCGTTATGAACTCGGTTATTAACTTTCTGCCACTGCCGCCCCTTCCACTTCGTGTGGCTCATCCACCCTCCCCCTGCTCTCTGTCGTAATTTGCTTTTTTCCATCCACCGTTTCCTCCCCCTTTATCCCTTTCTCTCGTTCCTGTGCTTTTTAAACAGTTACAAATACTGGTATGCATAAATCCGCTAAAATGACGCAAAAAAGACCGGTTTTTTTAAGGTACCGCCATTGCCAGATTACATTGAAAAGGCGGGTAACGTAACGATTGCAATGGACAACATGGTTGTCACTCCCAGCACATTGCAACTTACGGCAAAACTGATCCCAGTGCTGCGTGAAGTATTTTTCAAAGAAATCAGCGAAATTACGCAACGTTCAATCAAAAGGCATATGCAGGAGGAGGCACTGGCACGCACTTTTGTTGACACGCTTGGAGGCACAGTGCAGAAGAAGAAACTTTTGGAAAAACTGGCTTTGAGCGACCCAGTACCATCGGCAAACTTGTGATATTTGCTAAAAATTTGTATGTTTTCTTCTTAATTTGGAATTTTTGAAAGTTCTGTGGGAGAAAATTGTAAAAATTTCTTAAAATTTATATTTGTTCACAAAATTTTGAATCGTTTTTTTATGAAAAATTTTTGAAGATGGGCCCCAAACACGGAACGAATAATGGACCGTAGTAGCTTGGTGAAATATTTGCTGGGAAATAGTTCTTTGAAAAGTACGGTAGAGATCAACGATCGCGAATCGGTTTATAAAAAAGAACTCACAATCTATGCTGTTGTT